AGTAGCAGACCTGGTAGGCACTAGGAACCCCAATTCTCCATTTCTGAAGAAGGATCCCAAACTTTCATCAACTTTCCTGTTCCTCTGATGCTGCCTGGCATGCTGTGTTCCTCCAGTTCCACACTTATCTGACTCCAGCATCTGCAGTTCTTGCCATCTCTGGGAGAGAAACCCTAGTGTTCTGACCAATACTTATTCCTCAACCATCAAGAACAGAACAATGCTGTGACTACCTATGTTGCAACAATTACTGTGCTTTTTTTTAAAAAGACAAATCCTCAATTGAGTGTTCTTTAGGTGATCCCGAGATCACAAAACACCTATGAAAACAAATTCTTTATTACTGTTGCTCCATTATTTTGTTTTCATGACTGAGTTACACAACTATAAGTTCCAAACAAAAAGCCACCCAAGTAATATTCAAACCACCTAATTCCAATTATACATTCAACATAAATTTAATATAACATACTAAAATATAAACAATCAAGTAGCAGCAAAATCTTGTGTTACAAGGTTCTATTCAAGATAGCCTTGATGGGTAAAGTGTCGGACTGAAGTTTGTACTGTTCGCAATCCCTAAAACTCAAGTGGCCATTTTTTTCTTAGATTAGGGATAGTGCAACTTTAATTTTAAAAATCTACTCAGCTACATATAAATATTAATGAAGTGACAATTTTCAACGCTAAACAGCCTGAACTTATTCATGTAATGAGGCCTTAGGTTGTGGTGGGAGGAGTAGAAAATGATAAGACATTAAATAATAGGAACAGTAGGAGGCCATTCAACCCCTGACACTGCTTCTTCATTCAATAGGATCACAGTTGATCCAGCATTCCTCACACCCACTTTCCTGCACTTTCCCCATAGACATTGATTTCTCCTACTGATCAAGGATCTATTTCAGCCTTAAATATAGACAAGGACACTGCAACGCGCCCCCCACCACCACCCCCTCTCCAGCTTTCTGTGGCAAGGATTCCCAAAGACACTTTAACCCTCAAAAGAAATCCCTCCATCTCATCTTAAATTTGCACCCCTTCATTCTGAGGTTATGTTCTCTGGTCTTAGACTCTCTCATGAAGGGAAAGATCCTTTCAGCATTTACCCTGTCAAGCCCCTTAAGAATCTTACGTTTCAATGAGATCACCTCCAATTCTTCTAAATTCCAGTGAGCAGAGTCCCAACCTGTTTAGCCTTTGCTCAAGACAATCTTTCCAAACCAGGGATCATCCTCATGAATCTTTGCTGAACTGGCTCCAACAAAATGGTATCTTTCCTTAAATAAAAGGGACTAAAACTGCTCACAGGACTCCAGATGTGGTCTCACCGGCAACTTGTACAGTTGCAGTAAGACTTCCCTACTCTCTCACTCCAACTCCTTTGAAGTTAAAAAGGTCAATATTCCATTTGTGGTCCTGATTATCTCCTGTACCTGCATACCAACTTTGTTTCATAAGTATCCCCAAATCCCTTGGTGTCACAGCTTTCTGCAGTTTTTTCTTCTTCTATTAAGTAATGCTGATCATTTGTTCTCCCTTCCAAAATTAAACTTCACATTTTCCCACACCATACTTCATTTGCCAACATTTTGTCCAATTAGTTAACCTATCAAATATCTCTGTACATTGTCTGGAGGAATACAAAGCAAATAATTTCACTAGCAAGTCTGACCAATGTCAAATTTGGTGCTCTTCTGGAGGGAAAAATTTGCCAAAGGTTAAGCTCTTCACAAGCATTTCATGAACAATGTAAACACGTTTTCTGCTGAAATTTTGAAGATGATAACTATATTACCATAAAGTAGAAATAATTTCAAAGCCTGCAAGACACTAATTTGAAAAAGGCAATGCTTTTACAGTATAAAAATGCACACCACTTTGAATTTTGAAGTTTGTCCCACATCACGGTAATGTTTATTTACTCCAAAGTAAAAAGGAAAGAAAATCAATATAGAAATGCTGAAAATTGAAACTAACTGCTATTCTTGATGGAATTCAACTATCACCGAAATTTTAATACACAAGCAGCTCATCTAGAAATGTAAAATAGCAAACAGTGTCTACTTAGGATGTTGGCAGTTCAAGGTTTTCCTAACAGCTTTTTTTTGTATTGGAGGTGCAATTAAAATATTGAGAAATTCAAAACAAATGTAAATCAGGAAAAAACAGGCTCTGTAGGGAGTGCTGCCTGGTTTATTGTCGACCAGCTCCCTGGCTCTGGCACTGGGCTTAAGTAATGGAATGTGGTGTGGTGGAAAACACAGGAGGCAGATGCTTCAGAGGAAAAGAAAAAAGTCTGATTTTATTTTTTAAAAAAGCAAATTGAACATATTTACAAAAATCTGCAAAATGGATATCAAAAGCAGCTACGAGGGCAGGGAGGGAGGGAGATTACTTGCTAATCCGAAGTCCTACCCTGTTCCACTTCCTTAGGGATGCCCTACATAGTTTTCCCCCAAACCCCACCTTCCCCTATGACTAACCAAGCTGAGTTAGAGGGTGTCGATGACCTTAGGCTCACCCCTTGTGTGGAGCATGATTTCAACTTGCTCGTCATAGCTGGGGCTCCGTAGAGGGCCACAAGTGCCAGTAACCATCAGTCTGGTGGTGTCTGCTGATGCAGTTAGGCACACTGGACCTGATGGGCGAGTACCTTAGTTTGCTTTCCTTTCTTGGTGGTGCTTGTGAGTGGGTTATCGTCTTGGATGGTGGTGGATGTTGTTGGTGTTGCCCTGGTCGGTGCCTTGTGGCTCTGGATGCTTTTGGACACTTCCAGACTTCGAATGGAGGTTCATGGTTAGTTGATGGCATTCAGTGGTTTATAAGTGTTGCTCTTGGTGTGGAGGGATCGCAAATTCCTTGACTCTGAGGCCCCTACGGGAAGTTTTCTTTCGATCGGCAAGTCTGATCGATCTCCTTCCTATTCCTTGCGGCTTTGGCTCAGGAGCGCCTTCGCGTGCGGGGCCTGCTTCTTGCTTGGACTCTCGAACTCCTCTCACGAACTGCTCACACCGGGCACGCACAGAACCCAACTCAGAGCACACATCTAGCTGGAATCGGAGCGCGTTGCTGGTATCACAGCACACACTGCTGCGATCGGGGCCCCAGTTATACCAACTTCAGGCCCCCTTACCTCCTGCCAAATCTGGTTTCGGCTGCTGAGCTATTGTTCCTCCTCTCGCGGCTGAATGAGCTTCCTGAACGCTGGAAGTGGTGTGAATGGCTTTTCAGTTAAGGTGAGTGATTTCAATAGCTTGGAGTGTCCAGTATTTCCCTTAGACAGGTATTCATTAAGTTTTGAATAGTAGTGTGAATATTCTTACATCCAAAGGTGAAACAGGTTTACATATAGCACAATGGTGTGGAATGTTCGGTATTTCTGTGGCTGAGCGTTGGTTGGAAATTAAATGGCTTTTTACCTCTGCAGGCTCCAGAAGGTCTGAAGTTGTACATTTCCTGCCGTCTAGCTTCCATTGTTTTAAGCTGGGGTGTGACTGGGGGTCTTCCCTTAGTTTTGCAGGCTAACCCCTGTTCGAGACATCTGCTCCTGAGCTTGCATATTACCCAGTCTGACCCAACCAGCCTTTTCCTGGTTCAGTAGAGGTCCATGGTTTCTTGAATCCAAAAGTTCAGTGAATTATAGTCCAATATACTTTCCACAAACTTACATCTTCAGGAGGGTTTTCGCCCAGGGTATATCCATAAACTGATGGGAATTTTTACCCTACATTACAGTTTTCAGATCCAAGCTTCCCATCTCCAGAGAGATGGGCAAATCATGGTGTTAAATCACTTACATTTGGTCATTTCCTGTATTTACGCAGACACTAAAATGAAATTCTTACATAATAAAACATTGTAATTTCAAGGTGTTAAGTAACATCCAGTTACGTAGATAAACAAGTATAATTTGAACAATTTACATAAAGAGCAACAGTTACTGAAGTATCTATAAATGAGGCCCATAGAGACACCAGAAGACCTCAAGGTCAAAAAAATTGCTGGTATCAAAAATCAAGGAATCATTGAGACAACACGCATTTTATCTACATAATGCATACAGCCCTAGAACAGCAGATGACTATTAGAAGGGACAGGAACAAAGGAGTTGATTCATTATCACAGCATTGCTACTCTTAATTGGTCCCTGACCAGTTCACTAGGGTATTATGTACTAAATTATTCAAAAGCAAACTGTAGTATAATGCCTTAACACATTTTTATTGTGTGTTCACAGAGACAGGTAAATTGTAAACTCTTCATCCAAGAAGTTTCACTAACATATGGTAGAGCAGAAAACCTGAATATTTTGTTTCAATGTTTAATCTGTGGCATACGGAGTTCTGTAATTGGCTAAACGTATTACCGTCAAATCTTCAATAGCCAGACTCAGGCTTCAATTTACTAAATTAATTCATAAATACTTTTTCCCTAAAAGACTCCCATGTTTTCAACTAATTATATATGTTTGGTAGAAGTTCACATGTATTTCCTCGTATTAAGCATACCAGATGATACTCTCCAGAAATTTTCAGTCTCTCAATTCCTCCAATAGCTTCCAGCCCCAAGCTTTTAAAGAAAATTAGGAGGGAAAAGGAAAGTGTAAGCTTACTGATCAAGACAGTATTCAGTCTTAAGGTTTTAGCTGCAAAAGAACTTTGACAATATCAATATTAAAAATCTTAAAGTAAAAGAGAATCTCAAATTTAAATTCCTTGTAGTTTGTACCCTGAATACAAGACAGAAATGGTGACTGTAACCCACACTAATCTTGGACAATAATGCTGGATAAAAATCATCTCGACATAGATTAGTTATTTTCACACACAAAGGAAGATCAAGACAGCTCATCACAAAGTGTTGTGGTGGAGGGGTAAATGGACTTTTTTGTTAACACATTCTAACCTTACAATTTAAGAGTTTTATACAATAAATTTAGAAAGTGGAGAATACAGTTATTTCACATAGTGACAGAGCTAGCAACAGAAAATGCTTACCTCTCAAGGCTGGTAATAAAGAGCGGTCTTTTTTATCATCACATTTGTTGCATTCACTGAAGTACAGCAATAAGAAGACATCCAGCAGGACCCAGACCAAAGATGTGGCCAAGACTACCTTACACCACGCCAATCTCCTCATGAGTACTGTATTTTGTGAACCACACTGGCAAGCAGGAAGTGCGCAGCTTTATTTCTTTGGTGAAATAGATCACAGTGCAAAAAAGGGAGGCAATGCCAGAAATCCAGTTTGTCGAATGAATGAATTAAACATCGCTGAAACTGAAGAAGAACACAAAAACTTAGTGTCATATATTACTAATACTAATAGGATACTTTAGTATACTTCTAGTCTATTTCAGACCTTTCTGAAGAATTATGGATTCATGGGGAGCCCAATAACTTCAAAAACATTCTAAGTAGTAGAACAAAGTTTGAAAATGAGTCAAGAAGTTGTCTGTCTCTTATTTTTTCTAAATGCTGGGTCAAAGAATCAAAACTAACTGCCCCCATATAGATGTGCTAAATAAAAGCCAAAACAGGAGATCTTTAGAATATCTGTACAATGCAACATGCTGTCCAACTTTCAGGCACCATAAAAAGGTTCACGAAAAGCAACAAGAACAGAAATTGCTCGAAAAACTCACGAGGTCTGACAGCATCCGAAAAGAAGGGTCACTGGACCCCAAAATTTTAAACTGATTTCTCTCCACAGAAGCTGCCAGATCTGCTGAGTTTTTCCAGCAATTTGTTTTTCTTTGATTTCGAGCATCCACTATTCTTTTGTTTTCATGATTAAAAGCAAACTGGACAAGTTATTTTGAAAAAAAATCAAATAACTTAAAAAAAAGCAATCCCTACAATTTTGCTGAATAAATGCTAAATTGGTTGCCATTCACCTGGAGCTGAGCTTCTGACCTTATATCCACTTGATCGGCAAGAACATCTGCTTTTCTCTCAATAATACACCTTAAGTAAACAAAGGTATCATTTCATTGCAGAAAATTCAGAGAACGTTTACTAGGATGATCCCCAGTATGGAGGAACTGTCTATAAGCAAACGCTAAACATTCTGTTCACTGGAGTTTAAGTGAATGAGAGGTGATGTTATTGAAACATATAGGATTCTTAAGGGACTTGACAAGGTAAATGCTGAAAGGATATTACCCCTCAAAAAGAGAGTCTAGGACCAGACAGCATTGTTTCAGAATAAAACGGCACAAACTTAAGACTGAGATGAAGAGGAATTTCTTCTGAGGTTGACTATCTCTGGAACTCCTTCCAAAGAGCTGTAGGGGCACAGTCCTTATTTATGTTTAAGACTGAGATAGATACATTCTTGATCAGTAGGGAATCAAGTGTTACAGGGAAAATGGACTGAGGAATATAGGATCAGCCATGACCCTACTGAAGGGCAGAACAGGCTGAAGGGGCTGAACAACCTATTCCTATTCCTTATGGTCTTAATATTGTCATTGTCTGCCCTTACTCAGTTCAACCTGCTGCAAACCTTAGTGTGGTGTTACCACTGTACTACAATTCCAAAGCTCTCTTAGCAGGCTTTCAAACTTCATTCTGCATCAGGCTGAGCTCACCTAAAACTCTGCCACCTACATCCTAGCAGATCCAAATTCCATTCACCTCACTGAGCACCCAAAGGTTTACGTTGGCTCCTAATCCAGTCATAACTTGCTTTTACAATAGTCATCCTTGTGATCAAACTGTAATCTCTGATCTTCTCCCTTACAACCAGCTGACAAGTTAGCTTTACTCTCACTCTGGCCTCATTTCCCATCCATCTGCCTTACTGTTGGCAGCCATATCCTCAACTGTGGGTCGAGACAAATCATCTTTACTGCATTCTTTTCTTCCTCCAGTAACATGCTTCTCTAAAATCTATTTCAGTAAGCATTCTGATGCAAGCCCATCAAAAATGAAACATCAACTTTGATTCAACCCCAAATACTTGAGATACCGGCTAATCTGCAGTGTTTCAACATTTACTGTTTTGAGTTCCAACACCAAAATCCACCAGGGGTTTTTTTTATAGGAGGGGTGGGAGCTATGTAAAATATGTCAGATGGACAGCCCACCATCTTCCCACCCAAGGTAATATGGTGGGGAAAAGGGTTGCAAATGGTCAATGAAAGGGAAGGTGCTGTTTGAAAATCTGTAGCATTCGCCTCCATCCCCCAAGATAGTTCTCATCTAACTTTCTTCACGGCCTGAATTTTAAAACCCACTTCCCCGTCCACCCTTCCTAAAAAGAGCTCAAACCCTGCCCAATTCCTTGACTGACCTGGGTCCAGGGACCAACAGGACTTCTTGGGACTGGCTGTAGTCCCAGCACTAAGCATTAGTGTCAGCTGGGCACAAACTTTGCTTCTCAGGGTGGGAGGTATGAGTGTGCAAGCATTCCACACCACTTAAATGTGACTCCATGTCTTCAACTTGTCCCAATACTTCACATATGGCTAAATGTCAGCTTCTGGCTGCTTGTTAACACACCAATGAAGTTCTTTGGGTTTTTTTTTGTATATGCTAAGTGTGCCATGTAAACACAGGTTATGATTGTTTTAACTAAATATTAGGACCACCTAGTGACGGGGCCCATTACAGTTCATTGATTTAATGCACACAGCCAATTCTAGCACATTGTGATTTATATAAAGAGGAAATATCAATGAGCATGCACAGACAATCTTTACTTTGCTTCCAATGAACCACACAAGCCCTGCAAATATTTTGAACAAATTGATTACAAAGGGGCAATTAACTTCAAATCTTTTACCATTCAAATCAGAAAATACAGCAAAGAATGTGTGGAAGAAGTGTCTGTTGGAGTTAGCAACTGGATTCAGGGCCTCCCAAGAACCCCACCTCAGGGGAATGGAGTAACTTGATCAACACTTTCCTACCCCAACCATGTGTAAATGGAAAAGTGATAGTGCAGTTGTCTGTGTTGTTCTTTTTCTTCCATTCCCGGCATCACTTCACGGCCAAGATGCCTGATGTCAGGTCCATCTAACAATCATGATTACAGATTATATTTTCTGATCTTTTCACTTTCTCGTCTGCTTCTCATTTGTCTCCAGGAAAATTTGAAGCAGGTGAATGTTAAGGAGCAGTCTATTTATTTCAGATTTTGGTCTGTTCTGTTATGCAGACGCAAACAAAACACTTCACACTCGCACTACTATAAAAAGGGAGAATTAATACAGCACTGGAAATCCTTCCCAAACAGGCTCATAATCCTCACCCAAAGTGATGAAGCATCGCAACAGGAAAGAACTGATTTCATTTCTGGTAGAAATTTCAACAGTGAAAGAAATCCTGCTCCAGGTGTTTAACACTATTAGGTAAGGGTTGTGCATTTCAGATGCACGGGCAGTCCCATGCTTTGTTAGCTCTGAATATAATCTGGGATTTAGTGAAATGGAGATGCAAATGCTGGTGTGGCAGCAATTGGATTCATCATTTGCAGTTTAGCAGTTTCGCCTACAAGCAATGCAGTACTCATCACCATGTTGGAGACAGCATTTGAACCAAACAACGTTATTTTTGTAGGTCATTTCTGTTCAGATGCTTAACTACAGTAGCTATATCAGTATTGTTACTTTATAAGAACTTTCCCTAGTATGGAATGTTACAGGATTTCTCCTGAACGGTCTGCACATTCTCCCAGTGGCAGCATAGAGGTGACAGTTTTGTGGAACAAAGTATTGGCCACAGGTAGGGAAGGACCTCAACATGATTTTTCTTTTTTAAAAAAGGTCACTTGCATACCACAGCAATAACCACGTCTCCCCAGGAAACTGCTGAGACTCCAAAGCAGAAAGCTGTGAGAATTTTTGATGTTGTCAACGCACTCAGCTTTTGTCCTTAATTGGACAGTGGACTCTTTAGGTCAATTAAGACAACACCATTGGTAAAATTGCTGAGCATGTCCTGCTGCCAACAAGTGTGACCTTAGGACCCATTTTTGCCCTGACATCTGGGACTTAAGTCAACTTGTACAACTTGGCCCAAACAACAATAACAAAAACATGCTGTTGTCATTACGTTGGACATGATTTTAACTTAATTAACAAGGGAGATAGTTTTAAAAATTGCAAATTCTTTACCATCAACATTATTGAAAAGTGACATGTTGGCAAAGCTTTTCATCTTGCACTCATCAGGACAAATTGCAAGAATTCCAAATGTATGAATTCCAGGGCCATGCCAGTTACAAAGGCTGAATCATTGAGTGATGTAATCATAAAGCATTTTACTGTGATTACTTGTTATCGTGAGACTACAAACGTTCGCCCAACAGCCCCAGCTTAGAAACTAAAAATGTTAGATGTGACTCCATGATTATCCAACAAGTGCTTTTCAATCCCAAACGTGCCCATAGCTGCAACAAGGAACTTAAGTAACCAGGCAAGTTTGTAACATGGTTTAATTACACTTGTTAGAGAAAGCATGCATTCATACACAGGGAATTAATCACTGCAAAACAAAGGGATACACGTTCAAGCCTTATGTTTCTTTTCAACTATTCAGAGGTTCGATGAACCCATGCTTCCCTGATGCCTTCACTCTGGCAATCCCCCTGCCAGAGCTGACTTGTCAGTCAGCACGCTTTCGTCCATAGTATAAATTGAGATTGTTTGAAGTTAGGCATCTTGGCATTTTTCCTGATGTATGCAAGAAGTGTGTCTACAGCATGACATTTTAAAAGCAATATTCAAGTTTAACACTAAGTGACTGGTAGGAAAGGAATGATGAGGCAAAGTCCGGGGAGTTACAGAATGAGCCATGGGTGGTTGTGTTTACATCACAGATATTCTAAACCTGAAATCTTCAAGTTGTAAAATTAAAAGTATTTCATTTAAATCTAGTATCAGTGTAATGCACAATATTTTAACTTGAATTGCATGAAAGCTTGTACTTTAGTGTTAAGTACCCCCAAACAAACAACGCTGGAGAAACTCAGCAGCTCTGGCCAGCATCTGTGGCGTGAGAATCAGCGAGTGTTTCGAATCTGGTATGACTTCTTCAGAACTGCTCTGAAGATCTGAAGAATTCATACCAGACTGGAAACGTTGATCGTTTCTCTGTCCACAGCTGCTGAGTTGCTCCAGTGTTGTCTGTGCTTATTGCAGCCTGCCAGCGTCTGCAGTGCTTTGCCTTTAAGTGTTCGGAATCCTCGCTAGTGGTAGCGATCAAAATCAGTGAACAGGGAAAAGCAGTAACCTGTTTCCGCTAAGTCAATTGTTTCAGCAATAGCAGCATTTTCATGATATATAAATGCCCTTCCAAGTGCTCTACATCCATCATATAAAATTTCCATTTATGCTTTCAAGTTGCAAAACCTAATTATGAAGCTTTGAATACGTATTTAATACTGTACTCGACAATTTTTTCTTGTTAAATATTTATCATGTTGACTTTAAATGCGTCCTGTTCCTTGTACAAATTAATTACTGAAATCAACACAAAGTGTAATTCTGCTACAGGAAACAGTGCTGACACTGCGTCTGTAATCAAAGGTTGCGGACTGAGGGGCTTTGGCCAATCCCGCTAATGAGAGGCTAGGCAAACGTGCCAGGTGGTTATCAGCTAATGTATCAAGCTGTTAAATTAATAAATATGAAGTCCCGCGGTTTAGTTCTCGTTGGAATGGGTGTATTACACAAACGGGATTCTCGAACCGGAAGATTTCTAACAAGCCGAGTTCCAGAAAGTCTGCGTAATATAACCCGGCGATATTAGTTTAAATTTACAATACAGTTGAACATCCGATTAATAATGACCAGAAGTTTCTAATTAATTCTTCGCATCATTTAAAAGCGTAGAAAATAAATTGGTGCATTATTTTCAGTCTCGACTTCTGAAAAAAATGATAGACAGAAACCATCTGGATTGATAATGTGACCAGTTTAAGATAATTTCGATTCAAAGCAGAATTTAGCAGTCTACTTCGTACTCTTACATCTCGAACTGCTTTCAGTCTCCAATGGTCACTCCTTCTGGGAACCTGTCTTCCTTCTGACACAAGCGCACGTTCGGTGCCGTGTTGAAAGTACATATAATCTCCTAGAAAAAATATTTTAAAAGATATATATCGCGCAAAATAAAATGAACGGACAGACTTACGCTGTAACGCAGGAAAGATAGATGGGGCAGAACCTGGTGCAATTAACTTGTTGCATTCTTGCAGAGCCCAATCAATTGTCACAAACACTTAGGAACGCGGCGCTTGTTGAAGAAAATGCTGCGAAGATTTGTTAAAGTGCAGTACTAATTTGGGGAGTCAAGAGATGACGCAATGGCTTCGCCATTACTTGGCAGTGTTTGATATTTACGTTGACCTGCCGAGGCAGAGCGTTTAGACACAAGCAGCTACTAACTCCCAAAGCCACTGATCAGTTCAGGTGCTCCTCGTCCCGAGGCCGCCCACTCCACTGCGCAAGCTCGAACTGTCAGGGCCCTGCTCCCAAGCAGCCGTCAATCACAATGTCTTGGAAAAGACATCCCGCCTCCCACAAAACCTCATTGGCTGTTTGCTACAACTTCACCCAATCGAGTTCGGAGGGCCGCCAATTTGCTCCTTTGTTTGGTCAAAGAAACCGCCAATCAATTCCGACCACGCCCTGCAGTCTTTGGGCCTGCGCGCTGGGCCCCATTCCCTCGAACAAGGGGGCGGGGCTCAGAGCTGCAGTGCGAGTAGAGCGTTCTACCGCAGGGGGGAGCAGCGAAAGGAGCTGTCCTGCGTTTTGGTGCTGAATCCAGCTTGTAATTTGCTGCTTGCAAGAAACCTGTATTTATATTGTGACTTTAACATAGCAAAATGTGAGCTACCTAAGTGGCTGAAGTTAATGGCAGGTGACCAAATGTTTAGTGGAAAATGTAGAAGGGAGAATTTAGCAAGGACGTTTATTACAATGGCAAGTCATGTCATTCCTATAGACATAGTGAAGGCACTCCGCCAAGCAGTCAACCAGTCTGCATCAGGTCTTGCCAATGCAAAGGATGCTGCATTGTGAGCAGTAGACTAGATTCAAAGAAATACAAGTAAAATGTGAGATAACAAGGTGTAGAGCTGGATGAACACAGCAGGTCAAGCAGCATCAGAGGAGCAGGAAAGCTGACGTTTCAGTTTCCTGCTCCTCTGATGCTGCTTAGCCTGCTGTGTTCATCCAGCTCTACACCTTGTTATCTCAGATTCTCCAGCATCGGCAGTTCCTACTATCTCTGTAACAAGTAAAATGTGCTTCACTTGGAAGGTGTATTTTGGGGGTTTGGACAGTAGGAAAGGAGGATGTGAATGGGCAAATGTTACAGCTTCTGTGATTTTATTGGAAGGTGCATAGGGGATGAGAAAGTGCTAGAAGTGATGGAGGGATGAAGTGTTTGGGTTTTGTGGTTCACTAATGTCCTTTAGGGAAGGAAACTGTCATCCTTACCTGGTCTGGCCTAAATGTGACCCACAGCAATGTGGTTGACTCTCAACTGCCCTCTGGGCAATTAGGGATGGGCAATAAATGCTGCCTAGCCAGCTATGCCATCATCCTGCTAATGAATAAAGAAATGGTCCCTGAGGAATGCTGACAGTGGAGTGGAAGCAAAGATGTGTGTGATTGTGGTATCCTTCTGGTGCTGGTGGACATAGCAAAGGATGATTTGATTTGATTTGATTTGATTTATTGCCACATATACCTAAGTACAGTGAAAATCTTGTTTGTGAGCAGTACAGGCAGATCTTAGTAGCAGGGACATACAGGGCGTTAAAAAGAACTTGGACAGAGTGAGACATACAGGTTCCACCGCACAGGACATACACAAGGCATGAACAACATTAACAAGATCAAAATTATTTGAAGTTAGACAGTCCATACATCAGCCTAATACCTAATAACAGCAGGGAAGAAGCTGTTCTTGAACGTGCTGGTGCATGTGTTCAAGATTCTTTGAATGCTAAGACTAACAGGGTAGAAAGTGAGAACAAGGGGAATCCGATCTTTGTTCTAGGAGAGAGGGGAAGAGATAAGGGCAGAAATATGGGAGATGGGTCAGACACAGTTGAAAGCCCTATCAACCACAGTGGGGGGAGATTTTCATGTGAGAAAATAGGAAGTCTTGTTGGAACACCCCAGTGGAAGATGGCATCATCAGAACATTTGCAATAGTGGTGAAGACACAGGGAGAATGAAATGGAATTCTTGCAGCAATCAGGGTGTGAAAAAATCTAGTTGAGGTAACTGTGGAAGTCAGTGAGTGTGTAGTGGATAGTGGTGCACATCCTATTCCCAGAAATGGAAACACAGAAGTCAAGGAATAGAAAGGAAGAGTCAAAGATTGACCACGTAAATGTAAGAGAAGAATGGAAATTGGAAGCAAAACTGATTGTTTTTTTTTTCAATTCGGAAATCTTGGACATGTATTGAGAAGCGTGTTGAAAGATTTGGAGGAAAGGAAATGCGAATACAATAATTTACAAAACCAAAGAGGTCACTGGTTTGATCACGAGAAGGAACATTACTTGAGGGGAAAAAAACCATATCATGTTACTTATATAAGCTTAGACGGGTGCAAAACATCTTAACAGCAGCATTAGGTCATAACATTCCTCTCTACACAGAGGGCACAAGAGAAGCAAATATGAAACCTTCTATTACTCAATACAGCTGCAGAAATATTTGACAGCTTAAACAAACTAAATGTACAATAAAATGATTAGATATCTACTTTGATCAATTTATTCAAAAACTACAGATTTGAATATAAAAAGTCAAGGACTTGAAACAATCAACCCTTTAATTGAAGAATATAGGCAAAATGATTCTATGATTTAACTCATCCGTCAAGGACGCTAGTACATTTATACTTCGAACACAACCTCTGATGGAAATCACAGTTTCTGTTAGACAGTACCACAATTATATAAAAATGGGGAAAAAAAAGAACACTGCAGATGCTGTGACTAAATGAAAAACAGAATAATGCTGGAAGCTTAAAGCAGGTCAGGCAGCATTTGCACAGAGTTTTGGTCAAGTTTTGTTATGTTCTCATCAAAATAGATATAATGTAAATATACAGAATCACAATTTGGTGGGGCGAGGGCATACAAACCCTGAGAGTAATCAGGATGAAATGATCTTATAAGTCATGTCAATAAAATAATAGAAACAAGCATATTGACATTAAGGAAACAAAAATACCAAACAGGATCTGGCGATCAGACAAGGAGGATTTATGTGCAGGTATATCTACATTTGGAAAGTGGGGTCTTTTAAAAGTAGTGTAATGACAATTCAGGGCCAATGTCTTTGTTTAATCATGAAGGGCAAAGAAGGTAAGTCCAGGGAACCCTGGATGTCAAGGGATATTGTGAGTTTGATAAAGAAAAAGAACGAAGCATATGTCAGGGACAGCACAGTAAAAACAGGGGGGGCCTTTCAAAAGTATGCAGAGTGTAGGAGGTTCATTAAAAAGGAAATTAAAAGGGCAAAGAGATTAATAAGGAAGTGGTTTTAAAGTGCATTTAAGTGCATAAATCCCCAGGGCCTGATGAGATGTATCCCAGGCTGCTATGGGAGGCAAGCCAAGAGATTTTTGAGTCCCTGCTGGATATATTTAATACTTCATTGGCCACAGGCAAAGAGTCAGATGACTGAAGGAAAGCTAATATGGTTCCTTTATTCAACAAGACTAAGATAGATAGGTCAGTTAATTATTACAAAAAAGTCAGAGGGTCAGAATTAATCAATACTTGGAAAAGTCAGGTTTGATCGGGGATAGTCAGCATGGATTTGTTAAAGGGAGATTCTGTTTGATTGATTTAACTGAGTTTTTTTTTGAAAAGGTGACTAAATATGTTGATGAGGGTAATTCAGTTGGTGTGATTTATATGGACTTTGGTAAGGTCCCACGTGGAAGGCTGGTCCAAAAGTTAAGAGCCCATAGGATCCAATGCAAGTTGACAAATTGGATCCAAAATAGGCTTACAAGTAGGAGGCAATGGATAATGATGGAGATTTGTTTCTGTGAGTAGAACCCTGTGACCAGCAGTGTACCACGGGGATCTGTGCTGGCACCCTTGTTGTTTGTTATGTACAATAACAGTTTGGATGTGAATGTAGAAGGTTTAATTAATATGCCTGTAAATGACATGATAATTTGTGGTGTTATTGATGGTGAGGAGGATAGTTTCAGGCTACAGTCTGATATTGATCAGCTGGTAAATCGGATAGAGCACTAACAGATGGAATTTAATCCCAATAAGTGTGAGGTGATGCATTTTGGAAAGTCTAATAAGGGAAGGATGTACACAATGAATGGTGGATGCTGAGGAAGTACTGAGGAACAAAGGGGCCTTGGTATACAAATCCATAAATTCCTCAAGTCGCAGCACAGGTAGTCAGGATGGTAGAGAAGGCATATGGGATGCTTGCCTTTATTTATAAAGGCAATGAAGTCTTGTTACAACTTTGTAAAACATTAACTAGGTCACACATGGAATACCGTGTGCAGTTCTGGTCACTACACTATGTGATTGAACTGAAGGGGTTACAGAGGAGATTCACCAAGATGGTGCTTGGGATGAACAGGCTCAGTTTTGAGGAGAGACTGGATATACTGGATTGTTTTCCCTGGTGCAGTGGATGCTGAGAGGGGGATCTGATTGAGGTATACAAAATTATGAGAGCCATGGACAGAGTAGATCATAAGGCTCCTTATCCCACAGAACCCCAAGTGGATTCTTAATGTCATGGATTTTATCTGGTACACTGCCCAATGAAGTAGTTGAGGCTACCTCGTTGAATGTTTTTAAAGCAATGATAGATAGATTTTTGAACAGTAAAGGATATGGTGACTGGGTCAGTAAGTGGAGTTGAGTCCATGAAGAGATCAGCCATGATCTTATTGAATGGCGGAGCAGGCTCCATGACCCAGACGGCCTACTCCTACTCTTACATTTTATGTTCTTATTACAAATGTTTATCAGTGATTTTTAAAAAAAACTTTTGTTTTACTTTTCCTGATTTAAATATATGTTGATTGGTTTTAAATTTAAAGTAGTATTTGAGTTTATTTTTATCTATTTATTTTAATATTTTGTTTGCACTCAATGCATTTACCGTTTAAGGTACCTAATGTGTACATTGCAAAGCTGAAGCTTTTGTAAAATATATGCATTCCCCTCATATTTATATCATTAATTTTATTCATATCTTTCATGGTCCAATATACACATATTCTCTTAGTTGTTTGGTGAGTAAGGTATACACGATAGTTTAATGTGGTCTAACTATTACATTTATGAAAGCTCAGTATACCTTGGTTGACAGGTACTCCTCTGCTCCAACTCTGTTTTATAACATTCTATTAATTTGTGTTCTACATTGCCTTGTGTTTGAGAATGAACAAATATTGTTACCAACAAGATGCGTTATGGTTTGGGGTTGTCTCTTTAAC